TTAAGAACTAGTGGCCCGCCCTCGCTTCGCTTCGGTGTAGAGCTGCAGTGTAAACTATAGTTTTTGTTCACAGGCTTGTATTATAAGCAATAACTTTATATATATAATTACACGTGTTATTGTGAGCCAACCATAAAAGATAGACATATGCTGTTGCGGGATATTTTTTAGACAATTTTATGTAGAATATTTCCGTCATACATAATTTCTATGTAACTTTAACCATTAAAGCTGCACACGCGACGGAAGCTATAAAAATGGAGTAACTTCTCCCGTTTTTCCAATATTTCCATTCACTACTCTGCTCCTATTGATTTTAGCGTGATGAAAAGTATACTATAACCTGCCCAGGAGTATGAAGAATAATTGTACCAAGTTTCGTTAAAATCTGTCGAGTAGTTTTTGTTTCTATAAGGAACATACACACAGACAGACAGACAGACAAAAATTTTACTGATTGCATTTTTGGCATCAGTATCGATCACTAATCACCCCCTGATAGTTATTTTGAAAATATATTTCATGTACAGAATTGACCTCTTCTACAGATTTATTATAAGTATATAGATAGTAGGGTTGTTTCTAAAGTTCAATACACACAAACCGTTTGTGACAAATAGGACTAAATCTTCTAGGACTCAGGCAAACTTTCCTAGTTCTAGTATTACACAGCCGGCCAGTCGCGCACCTGCACTGACGGCTTTTCGATTTCCGCCACCTCAAGGTTGTTACTAAAAATCATAAAAAGTTATCGACTTCCTTTCCGGAAACCACCGCCCATGGTGTTTCCAATCAGCAAAAAAAGATGCAACATCACACGTTCATCTCCAGAGATGGATGTGGTGATCCAAAATTTAATAAATTGCAAAATTCTAGAGTATGCTCCCTGGACTCCAAGCTTTATCTCAAATTATTTTCAAATTCCGAAAAAACGACTGTACCTTTCGACTTATTATCAACCTAAAAGCGCTGAACAATTACCTAAAAATAACCAAATTTCATTTGATTTCGGTAAATCGTATACCGGGGTTTTTGCAAACAGGGGATTGGATGGTCAAAATCGACCTCCAACAAGCTTAATATTACGGGAAGATTGCGCCAGCACATCGATGTTTCTTACGTCTCAATAATCGAGGCCAGCTCCTGTGCAAATGACGTGTTTACCATTTGGTCTGGTGACAGCTCCAAAAGTTCGATGACAAATTGGACAGCAGAGGTGTTCAGGGAACCAAGTATTCGAGTTGTTTTTAGGACGATTATTTACTTGTGTTTCAGGACCGGGACGTATTGATAAAGCACAGGAATATCGTAATACAGATTCTAGAACAGTTTAATTGGCAGTTCAAACAAAAATCCATCCATCCAGCCACAAAAGATTATAGAATATCTAGGTTTGATTTGTATCGCTGGAACAACCACAAGTTTTTGCCAGACAACAAGATTGCGAGTCTACGAAGGATGCTGTCTCAGCGGAAGAAGCCGTCACTGTGCGAGGTTCAAAGCATCATCGGCGTTTTGAATTTCGCACGACTGGTTGTAACAACGAGTCGATTAAATTTTCGTCATCTCTTGGCTCACAGAAATGATCTGTTGAAACTCCGGTTTAGGGTACTCGCCCCTCGCAGTGGTGGAAGGAGCATTGTGTGAAGAATACCAGACTTCACCCACCGTTAGTTTTTTGATTACAGATGCGGCAGATACCGGTTGGGTTGAGAGATGAATTCACGGGATTCACCTGAGCGGAACCTGGTCAGAAGAAGAGCGTTATCATTCGAATCAAAGAAATGCTGACCATTTTCGAATGTCTTACAGAATTCGCTCCCTCTCTAAATCGTACCTCGCTTTTGATCCAATAAGACAACAAAGCAGTTGCTTACTTAGTGGCTTATCTCAGGAACGAAGGCGGGAACAAGTCCAAAAATCTTTTAGAACTTGTTTTCAAGATATTTCATGTGTTGCAAAAATACGACATTCACATAAGCCCCTATCATATTCCAGGTTATTACAATAACGTGACGGACATCTATCATGTTAAAGGCCGAGGATATCGGAATGGCACCTACTTCTGGAAGTAACGAAAGTAGTATTTGCGAAGTGGGGGGTTCCACAAGTCGATCTATTTGCGTCTATCACAGCACACGTGGTGCCTTAATATGTGATATTGGATCAAAAAGATCGCAAAGCTTGGAGGCACAATGTGTTCGCGATTCAGTGGGAGTTCAAGCTGGGGTGGGTGTTTCCTCCACCAAGCTTAATGCCCCAAGTTCTTATGCATCTGAATTATGCACCAGGCATATATCTGATAGTAGCACCCACACCCAGTAGCACAGTAGTTAGGTTATTGGTCAGAGAAGCATAAACCTCTTCTTCAGGGTAGCTGGAGATCCTCTACTCTCTCTACTGGATAAATAGGAAACGGAAGATGCTAGTCTCAAAATTATATTTACATGATGATTAGTTATTTTATCTGAATAGACACAACATGCGTTTTAGTGGTAAGTAAAACGCTGCTATTAATGCAATACAATTGTGTATCGATTGATTAAGCCTTAATTAACCTTAATCATTAAGGTATTGACTCCAATAACGAAAAGCTAGGTAACATTTGCATTGAATGGGCAAAAAATTATTTATAAATACCTCTGTCATTATTGGAATCATTGATTATGTAAATCCAAATATTTCCTATTACAGACCATGACCATAATAATGATAGTAATATTGCAAAGGTGGTAATGAAACACTTAGTAATGTCTATAATAAATTTACTTCAGATGAGACAGAATTCCTAGCACAGATAAAAATTTAATAGAAAACAGTACACACTAATGGATAGAATATAAAGAGATTACAAAACAGTCACAAAATCTAGTTTTATTACTACTATTACTTACTGAATTTATATGATTTACTGTGGGAACAATAAAAGCAAATAAAAATGCAAAACCAAATTTTTATTGTTAGCTCTCTATTGCAGGTAGTTAACAAGTGCATATGTAAAGTACTGTGTTTACAAAATTTATTGTGATAATCAAAATATTACATAATTATGAGATTTCTTATAAATATGTTTTATATTTGGGTGCAATTATATTTCTATAAAATTACAATTGAATACCAATTAAAGAATTGTCGATGTGCCACATTCATGAGATACACATGTGCATCAATCCCATGAGTGACTGCTGGCTATACATTCGATTAGTGGCTGAGTAAAACTGTGCAGAAAAAGTCTAGTAGTCGCGCTTAGTGGCTCAATGTGCGCTTGCTCTTAAGTCCTTATGCGCTGTTTTAATTGCATGAAACCTGCCAACGGTGATCAGTCTTCAGGCTGGGAGATTGTCGATCATAGCTGATGGGCGAATTCAACGAAACTAAACTAATCGCACTATACGCGATTCAAACTTAATGACGGCTGTGAAACTAGACCAAGTCGCGGCGAATTCAACGAAACTGATATTTTTAAGTGCACACGGAGTTTAATTGAAAAAACTTGCGCAATGTTGTGTTCTTCGCTAACCCAGTAAGCGCACTACATAAGTCCGTATACAGAAAGAAAACTGGAAGCCGACCAGCGCTTATCAGCGCTGGTATCAGTTACATAAGGGAAGCGGATTGAAGCCTTGTTGTTATTCATTCATTTCAAAGGGCGGTGCCAGCGCTGACCAGCGCGTGTCAGCGCTTATCGGCGCTGGTACGTAGAAATGCTTGCGCCGGTTACCGGTAAGGACCAGTGCCGACAAGCGCTGGTCGGCTTCCAGCTTTCTTTCTGTATACGGCCTTGAACACTATAACGCAGAGTTCGCAAACTGTTGTGAATTGCGATTGAGTGCAAGGAATGTACACAGTATATGATACACCGCCATTTCTTTAATTGTACAATATTCAAAACAATGTAAGGGAAATAAAAATATAGTAATTGTAATTGGTTATAAGTAATATAAACATTAAAATAATAATACGGTAAAATGTTACAGCAATGTTCCTATAGATATTATAAAAAAACTAAAAAGTTATGTTTAGTATAAAAAATTTTGTATTTATAAAAGGGCCGAATATTGCGATAATTATCACTCTTCGTTAAGATTTCGTGGAAAATCTAGTGCATATAATATATACTAACACTTCTAATTGGAGCATAAATCAGTCTAGACATTTTCCCTATCATAAGCTAAACAATACATATAGATTATAGCAACGACACGTCTACTTGACCTACGAGCTAACTCCAAATGAAAATTAAATGATGATGAGTTCGATGTACATACATTCATCTGCAACCCTTTTTGCTTTTCTCTGATATTATCCTGGTCTCCTAACGATTTTAGCATAGGAAAACGAATCATTAAACTGATTCAGATGAACAGGAAATACATGGTGTCTAGACATTTAGGCTCGGTGTACATGTACGATGATAGTTATTTTTACACTATAATCCAATCTCTGTTACGCCCACAAGGACCCGCCGTCGCAGTACAACCACCTGCTCTAACAACATATTGCAAACAGTTCTATTAACTCCGTGGTGTCGATTGGAAAATAAATTAATTCCTGCCCAGTCGCGTATAGTGTTATATAATGTATCTTGTGCATTATAAATAAGCATAAAGAAACTAGAATACGTAATCTACATAATGCCCCCTTTTCCATAAAACATAACTATTATCGAGCATTTTTATCGCTCTTTATACTCACGCGGCACCCAACCAATGTAGCCTACTCGTTGCTGCGAATAATACCTCGTTTAGACTATGCCCATGCCGCTGCCCCTCGCGTTGCCGGCATTAATTCCCTAAATATTGCTGCGGCATGATTGAGAGAAGTATGTGTTTACATACTGCCCTACCTCTCACTTCGCTTCAGAGTTTCGGCAATGGCAGATGTCGAAGTAATAACAGCGGCCACGCTGTGTCGTCGTGAACGTATCTCGCCCCGTCCCTCACAGTGCGGGATTAATTCAAAATAAATGTATAAGCAGCTAGTTGTCTGTTTTTAATGAGTGGTCCACGCGTGGTCAGCTTGCGAGTAAAGTTGCTTTGCCCGCTCACGTGTTCCTTCCCTCATACAACCTGAGATCCTTTAAAAGAGGCGTGAAGAAGCAACATGCTGGCCAGCAAGGTGAGGATGGCTGGTGCCGCAGGTAAAACTGCTGTACAAGCTATCTTCGCGTCGGGACTCCACCGTCACTAAACATCAAGTGGGATGGAGACATTTATCAGACCTATATATAAAAAAGTGGTCCGGAGTTGATGTAATAAGCGCATGTTCATAGAAGTCCATTATAAAGAATACAGGTGCAGTTAGCACCTAATAAGGTGGTGCTGGTCGGGTGCCATGTGGCTCTTATGAGTACAAGATGAGTAAATATATAAGTACAGTATATGGCACTAGGTATACATTAACCCCCATACTTAGAATAATAACGCCTAGAAGCCTAAGCCATAGTAATACGTGCCGAATTCATTTTCTTGTGTGCGTAAAATAAATGTATCTACGTACACAAGTTTTAGTGTTACCGTCACAAGTCGCAATCCCACAAATTGGAGAAACGGTGATGCTTTGCTATACGATGCCAAAGTATTGTACTTTTCAACCATTAAGTATTAAGGAAATTATTTTTTATAGAGCTGGTAACACCAATATATTATTTTTACATAAATTAATACCTATCAGAGATACCCAAAGAAAACAACCAAATAAAAAGTAAACAATAACAACGTTGACCTAAGAATTAATGAAAATATTGTGTACAATTTTTTAAATAAAACTAATTTTAACGGGTTAATGCACGAAACTTTATTTATTTATTGACGTTTCGCAGCCTTTTCAGGCTGCTTCGTCAGAATGATTTTTTATTTAATTTTGTCGAGCTACCTTCGAAAGACTTTTATTGAGCGTTCAGTTATTTTATTGTTCGATTTCTAAAGTTTTATTGTCTATGTATGAATTTATTACTTATAATTTAGTTAATAAAGTATTTTATTTTAAATTCTTTTTTGTTATTTTGAGTTTATTTATTTGACCCTAACTACCGTAAACTACCACCGGTTCCAAAATTGGGAGACCTTTCTGAGAAGAACCGGCGAAACAAAGTCAAAAGAGGCTTTCTATCTCCTTCTTATGTTAAATTATACATTTTTTCTCACAACTAGTAACATTGTACTGTAAAAAGTTGTGTGTATAAATCATTGATTTTTAGTCGACATATGTACATGAATGTATAGATTACACGTGAAATGTTTATTCTCTCCCTTTATTTTGGTTTTCTTATGTGTAATAAGAATGTAATGTAATAAGAACTATTTTTAAAAATATATTTATACAAGATAAAAACTATCATTTTTTAATTTTTTTTCCGAGTCTTGCACGGCGCGACGCGCCGTTGAGGATTGACAGCTCGCGGAATGAATTAAGCCATATCAGGCTCACTTTGAGTTGCGCCTTTTTCGTGCGTGTACTAGGCTTCTAGACGTTATTATTCTAAGCCCCCCTAATTATATTTACGCAGCTAATAAAAAAGCAATCATGTCTCATCGAATAATTAACACATTTTGTAACCTGTATGAAAATTGAATAACTTGGATTTTTATAATAAATTGATCCATAAAGATCAATTATAAAATAAATGCATAGATTCAGAAAAGAAAACATCAATTATCACAGAGAATCAATTATCATAGTTGAGATGAATTGCAATAATTTAAGTGCAATGTCACATTGAAAACCCTTCGATTGGTAAGGAACACCGTTTCCTTACCTATCTCTTTCGCATTTATAACATTTTATTACATAGTTAAAATTTTTGGTGTCTTATCAGTGAAGATCGATTGTTACAATAAATATTTCTAACAAGTCATAGTATTAATACAGTAAAAGTGACCAATCACCGAGCCACCACTGAGCTGTGCTCATGATACAGTGCAACTTGGAAGAAAAGGTTCATAGCATAGTCTCAGTTCTTTTTGTTGACAGAATAAGTTAAGACCGCAAGTGTGCTTTATTCTGTTAACTTTTGGAACTGACACGAACCCATTCTATCAGTGGCCACCGGCTACCCTGTATTAACAAAAACAGCCACAAAGCAGCAAGTACCGTTTGTTTCCTCGTTATGATTTAAGAGAAGCTGATACAGCACAGCTCTATTTTGATTGGTCGACCTAAGCCACTCTGCCAGTTTCCTTAGTTTGGAAGAATAATCGAATTGCCTTGAAGTTAAATTCACTGTGCAAATACTATTTGCTAATACTAATATGTAAATTGTTAAATAAAGAGTTAGGTATATTAAAAAATCAAATCCTCTGGTTATGTGAATCTGCCGTAGTGATTCATTATGAAATAAAAAAAGACCTTTCGATGAACATAAACAGCTATCGACATACTCAAGTGTTTGAGAAAACCCGATGGCGTTATTTGACATATAATTTTAACAGCCTAACCTGAATAAACTATTTTGAATTAGTTTAGTAAAGGGAACAGAGCACCCCCATTAGAGAGTGGAGGGCCAACATTACAACACAAAATTCCTGGAATTATAAAATCTCAAGTTTATAATAAGCTCATGATAGCCGCATTTTTCTCTTAATACTATTTATAAAAAAGATTACAAGTGCAATTACTAATGTCTCCTTAATATTTTGAGAAAAACACGAAATGAACAGAAACTTGTAAACATAGTCAAATTGGGGTAAGAAAATACGCTTTATGTCAAACAATGTATGAAATTTTATATGCTGTCCAACTACACTTATCATTAAAATTTTGTATAGTGATCTTTATATGTTTGTGACAAATGACAACATGAAGCCTTGTTGTGGGTTTATAAAAAATACGTGTTTACAGTATTTTTAGTACGCATAAGGCTCTTGTGCTTACCTAACGTCTAGCTTGTCTAAATTCCACTCTTCGACGTATAAGAAACTAAATAAATGCTTGTAAACTTACCGTTAATACGTACTACCAATAAATATTGACCTATAAATACTAGAGAGCCCTAATTATTTAAATAAACGTTTCGTAGGCAGTTAAAATATATCGCGATACGATTAAAGAATACAACTTATAACAATACCACTTGCATCATTACTGTAATTGGGCGTTCAAAATATCCAAAACAAAAATATACCAGTTGATTGGTAAATCACTTTCCGCCACTGTTGCATACATTCAAAACAAAAATATATTCTTAATCAATAATAATAATACATTAATAAAGACAATATTATGTTGATAATATAATTCAATGTACTTTTCGTATACCTTAAAGCTGTAATAGAGCTACTTTAAACGCCCAAGGATTTTGGCACGAGGAAGCACAAAATTAAGTGATGTTTGAATAGTTATCTAAAATAAGGGGCTAAAGCTAATAATGACTACGCGTATACCACTAACGGGCTGTCTCATTCTATCGATCATTAGTAAAAAGCAGTTTTGTTAACTTTGACATTATTTCAAATTCTCAGTAAAAACAATTTTTTGTAACTTAATAGAACTGAAGCAAACCTACTATTCTTCACTAATGATAGATTATTGAAAACGTCCATTCGGGATACAATTAATTTACACCGGAGGATTAATAACTAGATTATATACCGTATGCGATGGAGTTATATTGAGTTACCCTGAAACAAAACATTTTACAATGAGATTAGTGTGAAAAACCATGTTCAGTAATTTTATCGTAAAACAGGCTAATGCTCTTGTGAATTGGTAAATATAGTCGCAATTCACAATTAATTGCCCTGCTGTGATTTTTTGGCAAAAAGGTGTGGATTCTACGTATAAAATAGATGATTGATGAACGATGTTGTAATAAAAATAAGGTCTGGAAAAATTTAGAATTTTGACAAGCTCTAAGTTATACTTCGATTTTTTACAAGATTTTGTTCGGTCTGCAAAAAATCATGTCTAAATTTACTGGACTAACAGTGAGTAGCAAATACGACGTATACAGCAACTTTTGGGCTAGAATTAACGTTTTAAGCTTTGCACTTGTATTTATTTAAAGGTTAAATTGTTTTGTAATTTTCTTCTACGTATCTATGTACATACTTGGTAAAACTGACCTGTACGACGGGATCCCCCTATCTGATCATCTCGAGGTACTTGTGCTTGTGTTTGGTGAGCATTTCGGTGACGGTCACCAGTTTCCTTATGGCCGGCTGCGAGCGCCCCAGTCCTTGTAGCTCGGTTAAATGCGACACGCAAATGTGGTGGAGTGTTGCCAACTCTTTTGCTATTATAGATAAATAATAATATTTTATGTTTTTAATTTTTAAGCATTCAACTGCTAGATGTTTAAATCTTAAGAAAAGTAGTTAGTAGAAAAAGAATCACGCGGACCAGGCAGCAGACGGGACTCGAAATAATATTCTTTTACATGGTATAACACAAAGGCGCTCTCGCTGTCTGTACGCTTGGATATTTTCAACTACGCAACGAATTTTAATGCAGTTTTTGACAATATGTAGTGGTTCAAAAGGAAAGGTGATATGAAAAATACATGTCCATTCAAAAACAAAATCAATGGTCTTCACCCAAGCGAAACGAGGGCGTGTCACTAGTATTATATAAAATATCAACTCTAATTACTATCGCGTCTTTGGTGATGTGGAAACAAGAATCCGAAGATGTAAGGGCTTATATCCGGCTCGAAAAACGAAAATGTGGGGTGATTCCCTACATTCAATGATAGCGCTGAGCATATGCTTAAGGATGATAAATTAAGAGCTATGCAGTGCTGAACTAATGCTAAAGAAAATTATGTAAATTGATAAAACAACCACGTCAATTAAATTTATTGATACAAATTAGGTAGCGGACGAAAATGCTGACACGCAGTCACATAATGCTTATTACAAAATTAAGTGCGATGTCTAGTATAAATTTTGAAAGAATTCTAATAGTCGAACTCCGAGCCTATACGTTCATATCGGGAGAAATAATTAAATTGATTTCTTATAAACAGAGGGTTACGGTAGATAACGCACCGGTAATACTGTAGTATTGTAAACTTCTACAGATATGTTATGGCGGCCGATTACTTTCATATATGCTTATTTGCCACACTTTTTATAATTAAAATCATATCAATGTGTGGCGTCATTTTAGTCTTCGGCAATTCCAGGCGATTTCGGTCACGTGACAAATAGCTAGAAAAACTTGTATCTTTTTCTTGGGTTTTTAGTAAAATAATGAATATTTTTTCTAAAATAGTAAAAATCATTACCAATATTCATTCTTAATACATATGACAATTGTTGGCACTTTATTTTTAATACAGTCAAATACCCTATTTAAAGGCATTAAAGATTAAATAAATCAAAGACTCACCTATATCAAAGTTATTATTAGTATTGGGTGGCGGGTTTCCAGGATCGGGAACATTGCTTAGTTGGTCCAGAAATACCACCATCCGCTCTTTATTCTTCAGAATAAAAGGATTAACAACCTCCATGTAAGGCTCCTGTATATATAAAAAAACAATAATTTATAAACAACTACAAGATGCTTTCAATCTCAATAAAGATACATACAAACAAAATTGGAGGAATTCCTTTACTTTTCACTTTAATGAAAACCTTACAAATGTGATAAACATAACATTTATGATTTTAAATTCCATCCTAAAGGTAATAAAGCTCACCTTGGCACCAAACTCGATGAGATTGGCGAGATTCTGTAGGCACTTCGCTACCATTAGTAAAGAACGTTGAGCGTGAGGTGGCGGTGCGGCGCCTACTAAACCCCATGCTCGCGGCTCAACTAAGGCCGGGCAGATCAGCCGCAGGAAAATGAACCCTGTGCCATTAGAATAAATGCCGATATTGTATAAAGAGCATAGAAATCATACGCACATACATTCGATACTGTAAGTAAGCACCTACTCGACCCCACGCTCGTGGCTCGACTAACGCCGTGCAGATCTGTCACAGGAAAATGAGCCCTGCGCCATTGGAATAAAAACCGAAATTATGTAATGAGCATGGAAATCAAAGTTAGGACGTTGCGCGTGTGCCTACTTAGCCCCACCCTCGTGGCTCTACTAACGCCGGGCAGATCAACCGCAGGTAAATGATGCGCCATTGGAATAAAGACCAATATCGTATAACGAGCATATAAATCATACATACGTACATTTCGTTACTATAAGTAAGGAGCCTACTAAGACCCACGCTCGCGGCTCTGCCAACGCCTGGCCGATCAGCCGCAGTAAAATGAACCCTGTGCCATTGGAATAACGACCAATGTTTTATAACAAGCATAGAATTTACACGCACATATATTGCACTACCCTAAGTAAGGTACATACTCGACCCCACGCTCGTGGCTCGACTAACGCCGTGCAGATCTGTCGCAAGAAAATGAGCCCTACGCCATTGGAATGAAAATCGATATTATGTAACGAGCATGGAAATCAAAGTAAGGAAAGTTGCGCGTGTGCCTACTTAGCCTCACGATCGTGGCTCCACTAACGCCGGGCAGATCAGCCGCAGGAAAATGAACCCTGCGCCATTAGAATTAAGACCAACATGGTATAATGAGCTTGTTATATTTATTTAAAATTTAACATTCATTTACGAATTGAGACAGGCTGAAAGAGAAAGAGATAGAGTATCATCATCATCAGCCTACTAATGTCCCCACTGCTGGGGCACAGGCCTTCCCTCTGGATGGAATACGAAGATTGGGCCATGACCCACCACGCTGGCCCAGTGCAGATTGGCGGTGTAGTGTTTGTTTTTAAACAGAGCGTGACACTGACACACGTAAGACAGCTGTTTTGTCTATGATAGCGAACCGCTTACGTCAGCGTAGCTGTCAAACTTCATTGATTGGGTTGGTAGCCTTGAGGGAAGAGTCGATTTTCCTATTCGACTAAAATATTCGCCTTGAGACTTATAAAAGTCATCAGGCGGGGAATCTCTGTGGGGGCGCGTGGATGAATGGATGGAGTTTGACAGTTGTTGAATTTTGAATAGTCTTTCCCAGATCGATTTGAGTCCTCATTATCGGGTGCTGTTTTTAATCGATTTTGAATTTTACTCGAAATTGAATTTCCTCGCTGATTCGGGTAGGTATTCCCTTTTCCTCAGCTTACGGCGAGCGTAGGTATATAGTTTTGGGTTTATTCTTCGGTTCGTCTCGAATGCGGCGGCTGTCTGTTTGACTGTGGCCTTTGCCTTCAGTTGAAGTGGGAAACAAATCATAGACACATGTTTGGGAGTAGCCGATCCGTCTATCATCTATGAGCAATTGTCAAAACAACTTTTAAAATTTCACAATCTGTTTGTGGTACAGTTAACTTTTCATCTTTTCTTCTGCCCAAAGTATAATAAACGGCATATTATTGTCGTCGAAGTCGTGAGATAGATCCGAAAAGTTTATATCCCGAGGGATATTGGCGGAAAAAGCGCGGAGTCGCTAACCGAACTGAGTTGCGTGGGTATATTGGAGTGGCTCTCTTTTCCTACATAATTTGCAAGTTTGGGCTGTGAAAATAACCTTTCTGTTGATATTCTGTATCGTAGGTGGACGAACACGAACCTTCGCAAGGCAATTGCAACAATAAGGCGGTAACTCGTGATAGGAAACAAAATACTTACGGATAGTTTCATATTTCGAACGGTAAGCTATCCTCTGACCTCATATTTATTCTCCTAGCACTAATTGAACTGCATTATGCACAATATAGTGATTCTTGTCATCAAATATACCTAATCATTCTTGTCAAGTTAGTGAACGTGGAATTGATTTTCTTCAAACCGGGTGGGACGGCCCCCCAGTTCTGTAGTGATTCAAATTTTAAAGTGTAAACATTGACCGTGAATATCCCTCACTCCCTCACCCACCACAGATGTGGTAATCCATGTATTTTCCCCATATCTGATCATTCTTTTTCAATGTGAACTTCAGGCTTGTACGTTCCCCTCAAGAAATACTGGAGGACTAACAAGGAGACTTTTGTTCTGTGCACGGACCAGAAGGGGCGCGGGAGTTTATTTGCCAGCCGCTCTCCGGTTTTATGTAACCCGGCCGAACAGCAGACAGATTATACACAGCTTAACCTATCATAATCAAGGTATTTCTCTACTAACCCCGGGTGAACGTGAAAAGGAAACAACAGGCGAGGTTGGACCCCGACTTGCCCATTTCCATATATTTACATATACCTATATAACTGGTTATCTCACTGAGAACTAGAATTAACTAAGTTTGTCACCAATATCGATCAAACGAGCCGTAGAACCTCTGAAATCCACTAAATAGCTTATTCAGTATAGTCTATGTGGTATTTGTGGATAAAAAAAAATATTAGTAAGTATTATATTGTAAGTACATGGTAAAGTGTTATGAATGTCTGATATTCTTATAATTATAACCTTTCCTGACAACTTGTTGGTTTATATACACATTAACTTTGAACTACTGTATTCAGCTTAGATATTTATAATTAGTGAAACATAGTTATTATATAAATAATAAACATAGTTGGACTTGTTGATTTATATAAGCAATAACTTAAAACTACTGAATTCCTATGCTTTGGTATCTAAAGTGGATAAAATATACTTATAACATTATCTTAATTTTTTGGTTTTCTTTTATTGTTCCCCCGGTGCTCTGAGTAAGCTAGTAAAGAGCTGTGGAGGGGAATTTAACATCACATGTGGCGCCCGAACAAGTGGAAACAAGGCTTTGTAGCATTTGCTTTGCTCTTTTTTTTGGTCATTAATTGCTCAAAAAAAGGTTGATCGATATTGGTGATTTTTCTTTTTTTTTAAATTTTCTTTTTTCTCTGAATTATTTGGCTTATATCCAAAGATTTGTTTATCTGGTTATACTGTGTTGTAAACATAATAATTTGTAACATCGGATGATCGATATTGGCTCAAAATTTACAATCAAAAAAAGTCATATTTACTTTTTTATACCCTTATTTAAAGACCCTCTTGTGTACTGATTTTTGGTAGGTTAGTTCACCAACCTCACTTTTTTGAACCTAACAAGAAGAAACCTAACATTGAGAAACCTAATCCTTTAGAACCTAACAATTTTCAACCCTCAGGTGTGAAACCACACTTGTTACAACACTACTATTTTAACTGATATATCTTAACAGGTAGGTGATTTTATTATCATATTAATTACACTTTGTTATTGAACATTTCTTTATTTTGCCACACTAGGAGTAATTTTAACTTACAAAATGGAACAGAGGCCAATCACTTTTAACTTGTTACACAAAGATGAGTTGGAATATGAAGTCAGAATTAGGGGTGCGAAGCCTGTGGACGGGGTGCCTGCTTTAAAGGCACAAGTACGTGCTTTAAATAAAGATTTACCTTCTGATGAAATATTAACTTGTGAAGTAGAGATAGAATCAGAGTTGGATATTATTAGGGAGAAATTAGACAGTTTAGATGATCTTACTTCTCAAACTTCTTCTAGAGCTAGTTCCCTTAAAGCACTGAACAGAATACAATCATTAGCACATCACTTGTTTCATAGACTTAGTCGCTTAGATTCTGATAATGATGACAGCATCGCCTCTCAATTGGAGGCGCTGCAGGAACGTCTGGACAAGTTTCTGGTTAAGTTAGATAACATTATGCACCATTTTAAGAGTAGTTTAACTCAGGTGCCTCCGGAAGAGAATAGCAGAGTCCATGCTGCTTCTGAACGCACTGGGAATGCTTCCCATGACTCTGGTGCTGCCGTACATAAACTAAACATACGGTTTAATGGGAAAACCTGTGTAAAGGCATTCTTGCAGCGTTTAGAGGAGTTATGTTTGTCTCGTGGTGTAACAGATGGTAAATTGTTCAATTCTGCAGCTGAATTGTTTACAGATGAGGCTCTTTGTTGGTATCGTGGGGTGCAATCCGAAGTACATAGCTGGTTAGGGTTGAAAACCTTGCTTCTTGATGAATATTTACCATCAGATTATGATCATCGTTTATTACAAGAGATCCGGTCTCGCACTCAGGGTTCCGATGAAAGCATAGTGAATTATCTTAGCATTATGCAGAACTATTTTACTCGGTTGTCAAAGTCGCTCTCAGAGGAAGAGAAATTGAATATTGTTCTTTTTAATATTAGACCTTTTTACACTACACAATTAGCTTTGAATCCCATAGAGTCCTGGACGGATTTGAAACGCAAATGTAGACTTCTGGAAGGTGCCAAGGAGCGTTCCCAACATTTTAGTGAACCACCTAAAATAACCCAGGCTTGCTTAGCTCCAGATCTGAGTTATAAGAATAGCAATAATAGACAACTGCCTAAGGTCTCAGCCGTGCAACTGGTGGGAAATGATAAGTTCTGTGTGCGTTGCCGTGTTGAAGGGCACACTTTGGGAACATGCCGGGAAGCTCATGTTTTGGTTTGTTATCGTTGCGGCCGAAAAGGGGTGACGGCAAGATCGTGTCCCGAGTGCTCCCAGGGGAAAGCTAAAAATAAATATAATAATAATCTTCCAAAAAACGGGAAGGTGTGAATCGGCGCTGTTATACATTTTTGTCTAAACACGAATGGGATTCGTGGTTGGAAGTAATTCGACGGTTTTTCGATAGTAATAAACAAAACATTATTAAAAAGTGTCAAAATGAATGTCAACATCTGACAGCGCCGATTCACAACACAAGAGGGGATGTCCGTCCATTTTTAAAAATTACTATTTATGAATTAAAATATATAGGCTTGCTAGACTCTGGTTCTGAAATATCTATTGTAGGTAACAATGCAATAAAACATTTTTCTGGCCTTGGTACTGTACATAAGTCATGGGACTTAACACA